GTGTCCATTTCCTTCAGAACTTCTTGCAACTGCTGTCAGTATCTTGCCAGGAGCAGACCTGAGGGTCCTGATGTATTAAGAAAAGACTTTCAAAGGGAATGTTTTTTATAAGACTCAAATCAGGAATTAAAGACAAAATTTTAACTTAAATAAGAGAGTTGGATTTCCAGGTGGGCATCTTTCAAAAAGGGAATGCAGTACCATATGGCCAAGAACAAGCATTGTGGTAGGAGGGAAGCATCAGCTCAGTTCACCCCTACCAGCCATGACTTGGAGCTAACCAGAGACAGCAGGCCAGGCCAGAATCATCCTGCCTTGTTAACCTTGTAAATGCTGGCCCAGGGCTTGGGAAGTAATTGGAAGAGTAGACAGGGAAAAAAGGGACAACAACACTGCAAGGCCACACAGTACTACATGGTTGGGATATCTAGGGGAGGTTTAAGAGCTGAGACAGCCTGAAATGGCAGGGATCCCAGGGTTTCAAGAGGTTTGGATCAGCTTGGGTCCATATGGGCTTGCTCCAGTGTAGTGACATCTCTGTGCACTGGATAGCTCAACAGTGGACATGGTACCTTTGGTGTGGTCTCCCAGTGCTGAGCAGAGGGGAATGATGTCTTGCTGGCTGCACTCTTGCTAACACAGCCCAGGATGCAGTTCACCTTTACCACTGCAAGGGTGCATTGCTGACTCCTGGGATGTTGATCAGGAACCCCAAGCCTTTTTCTGTCAAGCCTCTTCCCTCCAGTTAAGTTGTACATCCAAGCTGCAGTGCAAATGACTTTTTAAACCAGCAAATACGTCTCTCAGTCCAAAAATGCTACTCTCAAGTTAGCTCAAACTGGGAAGCATTTCTCAAACACCAGCACTCTCATACATTCATCTCCCCATGTATCATGGCTGCAGGCCCACAGATGACTCCAGGGCACCTAAGGCTGCCTGTGAAGCCTCTTCAAGAACACAGCACTGCCACAGCTCTTCAGGGAGCCCTGGGATTTCAGTCACAGGTCTTAGCCTGAGGGTCCCAAGCTGTTCAGGATTCACAGCCACAAGCTTTCCTTGAGCTCAGCTTTTCCTTCAAAGACAGAGAAGAGGAACTGCGGCTTCTTTCAAGCCCTAAGTTCAAACTTCCCTCCATCATAAAGAAGATCCATAGCCATATTCCCTCTCTACAGCATGGTATGATGGGACTGATTTACCCACATCTCTCATGCCCTCTTTCCACACTCCAATCTTCCCTTTCCCAGCCACTGTCAGGGACAAACTATGTGTGAGGGTTTTGAAAGATACTAGGCTTTGCTGTCCCTGTTTGCTAATTGGAGCCTTACAGCCACAGTTCAGTACACAGTGGCTGGAGCAAGCCATTGGAAGCAATATTGCATCCGGAGATCTAATAACCAAACCACAGTCAAAACTAGGTACAACAGCTGTGCTCAGCTGTGTACAACAACCGTACCAAAGGAAGAAAAGCTCATGCTACAGGCTGACGCTGGGTACAATCAGCAGCAGGGAGAATCTGTCAGGCCTTTCACTATGGAACATTTGAAATACTTCAGAAAAAAAAGAAAAATCAGCACAAAACCCCTGCATGCCACACCAGCTCTGCACCAGCTCAGCCTGGAAGCAGAATGAGGCCCACAGCTGACCTAGCCCAGCACTGTCTGAGTAATCATCTTGAAACCAGTAGCCACCACGCTAGTCCTTGGGGAAGCGAGCTTTGCATGTCCCAGAGAGACCTGGCACCCCTTGAGCCGGTGTGTCTCCTTGCCCAGTAGAGGACATGGATAATACATCTACAATCCCCTAGGTCCACCACTGGGGGACTGGACAGAGTGATACATACACACTTACGTGCAGTGTCGTGGCAGCAGGTAGACACAAGACAACAAAGTCTGGCTCCAGGGTTTATTGCAGCTGATTTCTCCCACCATGGGTAGCAGAGCTGTGGGGCATGTGAGGCCCAGGGAGGGAGCAGGGCCTGAGCAAAGCAGGGATACACTGATTGCACAGGGAAGGGAACTTGCACTGCTCCCCCTCCCCAGGACAGGAGTGGGTGCACCCATCCCAAACCAGTGCCTGCGTCCCAGTGCCAGCCAGCACCGCAGCACCGGGTGAAACTCCATGAGTGCCCGGAGTTCTGGGCGATTGCTCCTGAGCCCCAGAGTCTCTGTGTTTCAGCTGGTGACAGTACAGGAGCTGTGGACGTGCACTGGAGCTGGCACAGGGCAGTTGACAGGCACGGGAACAGGGCACTGAGCTGGGGACAGCGGCACTCCTCAAACTCCCAGGAGGCTGGGCACAGCATGATGGTCAGCACACATCTGTGGGTTTGACCAGGATGAGGGAGGATATGCAGTCGCCATTATCACAGAAC